TGTTCACCAATCTGCAGCTGCAGCCTGCTGATGAAACGTTGATGTTTTCTGTCTCTGCTGCTGCTGCTGCTGATGATGATGATGCAGATTTTGATGATGTTGATGCTGATGATGACGCCAGCGCTGACGCTGGCAATGATTGGGTTAACGTGGCGCAGACGTTGTGCCATAAATTACGAATATTTGCACGCTCGCCACGTTAAGCGTTAGACGAAAGGCGGTGGCAGAGCACACTGGCCTAGCTGGCCAATTTGTCGGCTCTAAGACTGGTGGCTACCGTTTTGTGGTGATAACTGGAGATTTTCATTATGATTTGCAGCATGTTATGACTAATCGAGGGTCAACATTGCGTATGATTAATATTTGTTTGCAAGTCAGATAGCTAAATGGTTTCTAATAAGAGCTTAAAGTTAAGATTCGAAAGATACAAGTCTTAGAAAACAATATTAAATTTTTAACAATGGATAATAATGGACAATTTATTGAGCAATTACGTTATTGAAAGTGATTATTGTAAGTCAACGAAGTGAAATTTATTAATTTGTAAAACAAGTGTAATTTAATACTGCACGTAAATGACTTTCATCCCACTGTGCAGCAGGGAAATCGTCTGCGATTGCCAATGAGTGAGAAATGTGGCTGTTAGACAGAGACAACCACTGCGCATGTCCGCCGTCGCAGTTGGCTTCGCAGTCAACGTCGCTGCCAGCATCCTGCATCCCATAACAGATTCAGCAAGCAGCGTAAAAGTCAGGCCACCAAGTCAGCGAAAACTAGTTGTCTCGCTTAGGCACAGGAAATTGATTATCGCCACCAGCTTGCATTCAGCTAAGTGTAAGAGAGAGAGAATGCGAGAGCAAGGCCAGGAGAGAGCTTGTGAGCAAGGACAAGCAGTGCAGAGAGAGAGAGAGAGAGTGGGTGAGCGCAAGGACGGAGAACCTCAGCTGGATGCTGGCAAGATTCGAGGATTCAGTCTATAATTGTGCACCTTGCTGACTGGTTCTGTGCCAGTTTAACGCGAGCCCTTGCCTGGACAGCACGGGTATACAGTAGCAGCAGCAGGAGCAGTAGCCGCAGCATCATCATCAGCAAGCAGCGCCCGCAGCAGAGTCACACACTCACACGCACATATAACGGCTGCACACGAAAAAAGAAACACACACACACACCAATGTGAGTTGCCATACGGCGCAGCGAAATGCAAAAAGTAGGAAAAACTCCAAGAAAACGTCAAGAAAATCTCAAAGAAAGCAGACAAGCTAAAGTTTTGGATAGCCGAAAAAAAAAACTTAGAAAAACTTTTTAATTGCAAGCAGTGCACCCTTTTGTTACCCAACAAAGTTGCGCGCAAAAAAGTAGGCAATGTAAAAAGTGCAAAGGCGAGAAAAGCATTGATTTTCACAAGGAAAATTCCCACATACATGCCAATAAAAGAAAAGTGCGTGGTCGTTTTGGCGACTTTTTTTCGCAGTCTCTCTGGTTTCCCTTGCTTTTTTTTGCATATTGTCCGATCCGGTCAGCTTCTTGCCTTTTTTTTGCCATCCCTTCCCCGTCGCCTCTCCCTGGCTCTTTGGTGTGTATGTGTGGGAGTTTCTGCTTTTTGTCTCGATTCTCTCTTTCGAGAGAGACAGGCTGGACCTGTTTTCGCTCTCTCTTTTGCTATGGAGAAGCAACAACCGCAACAAGGATAAGAGGCAGCGACGCCAGCAGAGAAACCATTTCGACCGCATTGCCAAATCGATTTGCCAAAAACGATTATCAATGATTTCACGAACGCGCCACCAAAATTCGCTCCTCAATTGAATTAAATTAATCGCATTTGCTATTTATCTCTGTGTGTGTGTGAGTGTGTGTGTGTGCGTGTGTGCTGTTGCTGCGTGTGGTGTAAATCAAATTAAATCGGTGCTGAGCAAAAACTAATTTAAAGCAATTTATCCCCAACAAAAAAACTACAGCCAGTGCAAGCAACAAGAGAAATAAAATTAAAACAATAAATAAAGAACAAAAAAAAAAAGATGTACTCTTTAATCTATTAAACCAGAAATATAAACCCTAAAAAACACAGACAACACAACGAGTTAGATACGCACAAGAACAACAACAACAACAACAATATTTCGTTGCAGTAAGTACTAACTTAAAAAACAACAAGAAAAAAAATGAAATGAAAAGCATAGAACACCTGAACGAAAATCCAACCACCACCCTAACCACCCACCTGCAAACTTGGAATTCCTAAACAAACTGAAGTTCGCTTCACTTCACTTTGCCACTCAGCACAGTACCGCCCCCTTATCCGCCCCTTAACCATTCCACCTCTTCGGCACCCCTCCTCCCCTTCCGGAAAAACGCCTTCCTATGCCATTTCCGTTTGCCTTATCAAAAATGTGTATATATACACAAAGACTGGGGAAAAGCGGGGAGAAGCCGAAGAGAAGCTGCAAGAGAATTTAACTACAGTGGTCGCGGGAAAATTAGAATTTTCTTTGCTACAGTTGGTATTTTCTAGAGGAGTCAATAAAGTTGACTGGAGAATGTCCTGAAATTTAGGTTTTAAATATTTTTTATGCGGGAAAAGTGGGTTTATCAAGCGAAAAAATGGATTTTATTTGAATTTTCTTATCAAAGTCTTAATTTTTATATAAATAAATCCATTTATTGGTATTCTTATGACTGGCAAACTTTATATATTCAGAAGATTTGTTATGTTTAACTTTCTAAAGCTATGTTGGTTTAAAGATAACCAAAAACCTTCTTTAAATTCTCTTTCATTAAATATTAAATTCTACAAATTTTAAACATTTTAAGTTTTAAATCAGAGACCATAAAGACTTGTATAAAGTAAACTGAGTTAAGCACATCAAGCAAAACCAAGTCCTTAATAATTGATGGGCATTCATTGAATTCAATTTTCGATATACATATTCAAAGAGCCTTGAATTCATTGCCAATTAAAACAAAAACTGATGACCATTAACTGCTAATTCAGCAAACGTCCACTGTACATGAAAAATTCGTTTGGTTTTATTTGCTCCGCTTTTCGTTTTCCGTTTTCCGTTTTTCTTGTTTCTACTACTTGGAAAATCATCATCATCGGCACCGCATCGCATCTCGCTCTTAGCCATCAAGGAGCAAGTGCAGCCCAGTGGTTTAGGCCAGGGAGTCCTCCAAAGGCCCCAGTGGCCCTTCAGCAAGCCAGATAGACTGCTAAAACTCACTTTACCTCAACTGAGTTTCTCTCTTTTTTTTTTTTTTGGCTGCGGTTTTACTTTTTTGCTTTCCTTCTTTTATACTTTGCAGCTTTCTCCTCATTTTTTTCTGGCTCTGCCTGGCTCTGTTTTTGCCATACTTTCTTTGTTGGTTTTTGAATCTTTTATGAATTGAATTTGGTTATTTTGAACGCGTATGTTCCGCTGCAAAGTTGCCAGCTTCCCACGGCAACGTGGCTTCCACGTCCTTGGCTGACTTCCTGTACCGCCCGTCCTCCCTCCCCCTTAGGATAAAGCCAGAAAACCAAGAAAACCGAAAGAAAACCCCAGGACGAGACGGGCACGTTCCCATTCAATTATGGGCGGCATGTGGCACATTAGCATTCAGCGGAAGCTGCGCCAAAAGCAAACATTTCAACGCCTCCCAGTTCGTTGGGGTCCCCCTCTTGCTATTCCTTTTTCTTTTTTTTATTTTTTATTATGCGAATATTATTTAAGCATTCACAATTCCGTTTTAATTTAATTCGATGGCAAGCGATGGCTGGCGATGGCAGACTTTCGGCAGTCAGTGTGGAATTTGTTGAAAACTATTTAGCATAAATAGTCTCCGCCTGCGGTCCCGATAGTCGCCAGGGAATTGCCTGGCAATGGAGTCCTTCGGCCCTCTTTATCTTCCCCCAGCCTCCTTTCCTCCCTCTGCCCCTTCTTGCCTTTATTAGCGCATATAATTTCCTGAGTTCCAAGTTCCATGTTTTTTTTTGTTTCACAGTCTTGTTTTCTACCCCTGCCAATGGATTTTATTTTTATTTTTAAGGCTTTTTCCCCAAACGATTGCCTTTTGGAACCGTTTAGATAAAAAGCTCTGTTCTGACTTTGCCAGCCAACTGACAACCCCTCGGAGTTTTCGCCTTCCTTCTCCCCCCAGGGACAACACAGGTTTTTATATTGTAAATTTTTATTTTTATCTCTGAGGCATATAAAATACACATTTTCAGTTGCCTAGACAGTGAGTTTAATTAAAACGAGGCGCGGAATAGAAAACTGTCTACAGAGAAACAATGAAAAGTTTTGGAGCTTAAAAACAGAGATTTTTGACTGCTTTTTTTATGTACTGAGAAAAGGCGATAAGATCTGGGAGAAGAAGTTAATAAAGAGTTGGGAAAATATTAAAATATGTTAGGAATGGATAAAGATATCCATCTAAAAATAGTGTTCAAAAGGGAAATTGAGTAACAAATATGAAATTTATTATTAAAAGAAATTTATTAAAAGTTTTCTTTGCCATTTTTAAGTTTCTTCTACTCTTCTATATGTTCTTTCTATATATATTTATTTTAAACAATTTCCTAGTCTTTTATTTCTGTAAATAGATTTTTCCTCAGTGCATATTACGCTCCATTTGGTTCCCATCTGTTTCGTTGATTGCTTTCGGGGGCGGAGATTTGAAATGAGTGGGCAGGGGTAAGGGGCCTTTAGAGGCAGGCTGCTGCCTTCCGTTTCACTAATTTCAATTGTACAGGTGTGTGTCTAAGGGATTAAATATCTAATTTATTTGTATTAAATGCGAAAACAGCCGTTTCGAGAAGGGCTCTCTCTAGGCAGTGTGCAGCATAAAATTGAAATTCCTTAAAACCCGAAATACCTTTTAACCCGCTGTGCTGAGTTTGTAAATAGTTAACACCCCTTAAACCCTACACCTACACCTAAACCTATACACACACACACACACACTCAATCCCAGTCGAATAAATTTCGTTAAATTTTGAGCTTTTCAACGATTTTCCTTTGCAGAAATCGCATGCTAGAAAATTTGAAAATATATAAAAAGCTAAACCAAAAAACCAAATCAATTCAAAATTAAATTCTAAAAAGTTGCATCAAATTAAAACATACACACATCTATATATAGATCTATATATATATATATATAGAAAAACTCAATAATTAAAACCAAGAATAAACCCAAAAAAAAAATACAACAAATTAATTACAATTGTGATGAACAAGTTAATTGCATCAATTGCAGAAAATAAAAACTAAAGCATTTAAAATAGCTTAAACCAAAGTACGATTATATCTGCTGCCCAGGCAGGCTCAATTAAAAAAGGAAACAATAATTTATTGCCACATCAATTCAGCGTCGTGGGAATCGGATTGCATTATATATTACCAGTGATAGCAACAGAATTTACATAATAATAATTAACAAAAACCAAAACAAAAACAAAACAAAACCCAAACAGACAGCAACAATAATAAACCCAAAAACCCTGGAAAAAGATAACCAAATTGTTGTAGACTTTTAAAACGCCAAAAGTTTCTTGTTGTTGATTAATCATAATAGAACTTGTTGTTGAGAAAGAGATAGAAATGCTGTGATCACAGAAGGGTGTCTAATAGAAAGCTAATATATATAGCTAATCCATAGAGAAAGTTTAAAGTTATAACAAGAAATACCCTGTGAGCAATGCTTATTGGCTTAAGCAAGACTAGCAGCGACATCGTAGCAGCAACCTCGCCTGGCCTAAAACACATATCAAAGGGCTAAGGTCAAGAGTGCAGCTGGGCGAGAGGCAGAGGAGAAAGCCAATAAAGGAAACAACATTTACCCGCGCCACTCATCGCCACCGCCCCCGCATCGCCTGCAATGCTCTGGTAGCCAAGACAGTTTTACGGTGGATCACTACTGCGCCGGCGGCGACCCACAAGGAGCAGCGGCGGGATCTGGACCTGGACCTGGACCTGGAGTGTCTGGATCTGGAGCGGGAGCGGTAGCATCGCAACAGCAGGCGGGTCAATGGTCCAATGCTCTTGTCGGCGGCGGCGGCGGCGGCGGCGTGACCACCTGCGGTGGTGGCATTGCGGGCCCACAACCACCACTTGGCATGTGCCAGCATCATGGGCTGACATCACAATCGTTGATGTCCGGTGGCTCGCACATGTCCTTGCTGGGGAGCAGCGGCAGCAGCGGTATGAGCGGCAGCGGTGTCGGCAGCAGCGGTCAAAGTGTACCCCAATGTCCGGCGGCAGTGGATGCCGCGATGTTAGCCTCTGCTGCCGGCGGTCATTGTCGAAGCTTGAGCGGTCTAAGTTCGATCAGTATACCGCCACCGCCGGCGCTCTTCAATCCGTGCAGCTCGGCTCTATCGCTGCAACAGGCGGCGGCCACCAGATGGGGACCGCGCACCTCCTGCCCGGTTCACAGTCCGTTCCGCGTTCGTGTGCCCAATGGCTCCATCTGCTCCGGACATCAGGTGAGATACAGAGAGAAGGAGATGACCTCTTTAGGATGATGGGTATTTCTCTTCCAGAAAAAAAAAAACATATAATTGTATTATATTCAAGGACTTATTAAGCCCAAGTCAATATAAAACCCCAATCAGTTGCTAAAATCCGTTGACTAATTCTCAGCTTGCCACAAAATGTATATATTTATTGCTCTTTTGATTTTGCCATATAGAAAACTGTATATATATATATATACTAAATATATTCATAAGTAGTTTAGTTTACTAATTAATTGCAACTTGACTTATGTTTCGTTTGTTTTCTTCTTCTCTCTTCCCAAAATGGCTTACTCTTACTCTCTGACTTGATTTGTTGGCCCGGCAGGTAAGCAACGTTAAGCAGGAAACCCAGCATTTTGGCAGTGCCCCGAAATGTGTCAACGACATGTAAGATTATTTTCATTTGGGTTTCCTAAAACACGCCCAAAGAAAAAAAAAACACACACACTCACACTCTCACATAGAGATCAGGAAAATACGCATACCGCATAAGCACATTTACACAAACAACGAGGGGGGTTTTAGTGGTTCATAAGGCTATTCGCTGGAAGGGATAGCATATTTACTTTCAAGTGGTTTTCGAGGGTGGTCAATCATAGTTGGCAGCTGTGCTTATATTTACTTACTGTCACTTGTACAAATTAATTTAAGCTGCTTTTCCACATGTCTTAATTCGTGTTAGCAATTCGCTTGAATCCTTTTAAGTGTAGTTATGTCCTGCCTAAATCTTGTTAAACAAATTAACAGTTCGCTTGGTTGAATTTGAGTTGGAAGTAAATTAAAACTTAATCAGGGCTTTAAATTGAAATTGGAATCTTATCCTTAAGACTTTAAAACATAAAATGAAGGTTAAGAAACTGAAAATACCCTTAAAAAAAATATACATTTTTTAATAATTATTAATATAAAACTCAAGTCTCATCAGTAAACAGATTTTCCTGAGACTTCTTCAAGGCAAAGCCAGTAATTTGAGGGACCATTTTTGTATGAAATATTTAAGCGAAAAGCAAACCATTGAATCCCCAGAGAGACCATAGAAACTGGCTACTTAAAAGCTTCTTAGAATGCCATAAAATGGGCACCTCACTATATATATATATATATGTTTATTCCAATGAAAAGATAATCCGAACACAAAAGGAACATCCATAGCAACTCTCGCTGGGCCAAGCTCACATAGTTTCGCAAATTATAAAGAGCTCGATTCACATGATTGCCCAAGCGGTGACCCGGTTACGTTCCTTTATTTTTTTATTTTTTGTGTGCCTGGTTTAGGTTTTAGGGTCCTTCCTTTTGGTCCTTTGGGTTGTGGACTTGGTAGTAGGCTTTGGTTTTGGCTTTGGCTTTGGGGTCGCTTTTCCTAAATCAGCGACAGGCGCAGGTTTTTGCTTGACTGCGTCGGACACAAAACAGGGAAAGAATAAACTACGATGTGGCGGCGACTAGAAACTAGAACAGAACGGCACAGGGGATCGACTATCAGAAATCCCGGTCCTTTCTGACAATTGCCATTTAACGTTGTTTTTCCCTGGATTCCGCTTTCGGTCCCCGTGTTGATGTCGCTGACGTCGTTTTCTTTTTGGCCTTTTCACTGCCTGCCTTTTGGCCCCACCTTTCGGCCCAACATCAAATTGAATGTCACTAATGCAATTAGTTCACACAAAATAATTCTCTTCCACTCGATTATAGAGCATAATATGCTCGTTGTCATTTATTATGAGAAGCCAACCGAAACACACGCACAGCACGACGGACTGGAAGTTACGGAGCGAGTCATATGCAAAGTGCGTTGAATTGGATTGGATTGGGTTGGGTTGGGTGTCCTTGCAAAGGTTCCAAAGGCGACACAAGACCATTACGCCTTTCAATTTTTGCGCTAGGGCGAAATTTACATAAATATTACACAAGAACAGGGCACTGAAAGGTTCCTTGGTTGGTTGGTTGGTTGTTCGCCAAGAAGGGCGGTTTAGCCAACCAGGGGCATGAGGCATAGCAAATAGGCTCGTTATGCTTCCAGCACGGTCCGGAAAAGATCATCCCGCCGCCAAGGGCAACCAGCAAAAGGTGTGGTCACCAACGCCTCAAATTGAGTTTCAACTTTTTAACTAAGACATAAAAAAAAGAAGAGCACTCTGCACTGCATAAAGCTTAGGTAGCGACCTAAAGTCCAGTAATGGAGTTGCTGCAAAGTTGGACGGCTCTCTCTGAAAGACGGAAAGTTTTTTGGGCCTCGTTTGGTCCTCGTTTAGCTGCGTGGGTGAACGGCAAATGAATCTTTGATAATTTTTAGGCATTTAATATGGGTAGTTCACTTGTCATTGCCCTGACAACCTATCAAAGGTAAATGGGGCTCAAAAATACTCAAAGTTACAAAACTTTTCTTTACGTCCTTCAACTTTTGGGCAATCAAAAGGGATTTTTTATAAAAATTGCTGATTTATCAACTTGCCATGAGAAGTTTGAAAAACCATATGCCAAGGAAACTTTGGGTCAAGATAGGTATTTTATTAAAAACAACAAAGCAGAGGCTAGGCTTTGTTTTCCTTTATTTACTTATCAAGTTAGAAATAGGCAGATTACTTACCAATTTGAAAGGGTTCGCTGTTAGCTAAAAGATACGTAAACAAAATCATAATATCCTTGTTGAGTTTCACACAAACTTTCCATAAACAGCTTACAAAAAAACTAAAATTTCATGACGCCACAGCTATAGCTTTATATCTCTCATTACCCATCCAAAGAGTCCTTAAGCCACAGCCATTTCATTTGATTAACTCCCTTGAGGTGTGCCCGTAAACATATTGTTGGTGTTTTATCTAAAGTATCCAACAAATGATTCCAAAAATTCCTCTCATCGCGAACATTAGCTGCCTAAGTACCTCAAATTTGATGCCACAATGTATGAGAGAATTTGTAATTTCAAGGAGGAGAAGGTCGATGAGAAGGGGAGACGTGGAGATCCTGGACTAACTAACTTACACCTGCCTGATGGTGGCCATCATGGCGTGTGGCACCTGCCACATGCCGCACATAACCATCCGCACACATTCATGAAAGTGTTGTCATACATTTAGCATTCCCTCTGGCAGGAATACAAAAACTTTTATCTTGATAGAAGGACTTGAGCAACGCTTTTTTTCGGGGGCTACCGGGGGGCCAAAAAAGAAAAGAAAATCCTGCCCAAAAGAATAGAAAGCGAAGACAGGGCAAGGAAATGGAAAAGGAAGATGGGAAGAGAAGGGATGGGCGAAAACTGCCTAACTGACAAAGTGACTGGTGGACCGAAGGACCAGCTGGCTGACTGACTCACTGAAGCCTTGACACTCTTCATTTGTGAATGCGTTAATTGCGCCCGAGGATGTTCGTATGAGAGGACTAGAGTGGTTCGTTGGTGCAAGTTTAGTTTTAGGGGTCCACTTTTAGGCTAACAAAATGATAAAGAAGTGGCTAAAATTCATAAAAATTAATCTATTTAACTATATTTAGCTAAATAAAAGAAATCTTTAAGTGTTTTCGATAAATCAAGTATTAACTCGTTCACTTGTCGTATACGTAATATGTCGGTTATCTAGATAACCAATTTATGTAACAAATATTGCTGGTAATCAAAACCCGAAACAGGTTAATTTCATTTTAGAAGAGGTTTTCTATCATAAGGTGCTATCAAAAAAAGTTCTTAACTGGATTACATGTCGTATGAGTAATTTTTTCAAAGACCTATTTTCAAAGTCCCCCAAATTTGAAATGGAATTTGTCTAGAAAACGTTAATTGCCAGCCGAAACCCAAGTTCTTTAAGGTAATGCGAGTTAAATTGTCTAGCTTTGGCATATATTGGTCCACCCTACCAAGGGATGCGTGTGTGTGTGTGTTTGTGTGCGTATGTATGCATGTGTGTGTGCCAATGCTGATGATGATGAACAAGCACAATGGCCTGAAACAAGCAGTTAGAGCCTGTAAGAACAACAACAACAACAACGGCGATTACAAGCAGCAAGTGTGTACATTATTTTGCAATTTAACAATCCCCAACCCAACACCCAACCCCCTCACATTTCGTCCCCCTTTTTTTTCAAGGCAAGCATAACACAACAACTTGAGGAAAACAAAAAAGGAGGAAAAAGAAAAAGTTAATGGGGGCGGGGATAAAGAAAGTATGAAAAAAGTGAAGAAATAATTAGTTTACTTGTTACGAAAGTGAGTTATCGCCCTTTGTTGCCGCTGCAGCCGTTGCGGCGTTGTTTGCCTAGTTGAAATTGAATAAACAAATTTTACATGCCGCACACACACACACATAGAGGCATACGCATAAGCGCAGGATATACAAACACACGTACACACACATAGACAATGTGTTGAGTGTGCAAAAATAATAATGTGTGTTCTTACACATACGCACACACAAAGAAGAGCTCAGCAAAGAATGAAGAGGAGACAAGTCGGGGGCTATAAAATTACATTTACATATGCAGATCTGCATGTGAGTGTCCTGTTGCTAGAGTGTATGTGTGTGAAGAAGAAAGTGTTGTTGCCTACCTAACGGCGTCATTAGTCACACACAAAACACAATGAAAGCGAGTGAGAAATGGCACACTTATAAAAATGTATTTCCTCAATGGCATAAGTAAAAGGAGATGTCTTAAATCGGCATAATTTTATACGCACCTGAATGTAAGGCATTGTCTGATTTTACCTTGAAGATATTAAAAACAAAAACACATCCGAAACATGTTTTTTGACTCCAAGGACATTTGCCATTCTGGTTATAAAGCCTGTAATTATTATGCTTTTAAATCGTTAAATATTCATCATTTACAAGCAACCTTTTAGTGATGATTTACATGAAAAGATTACCATGTTTAAGGGTAAAGGTTTTTGCCTTACTTTGACTTTGAAACTATAAAAAAACAGATATATTTTATCATATCAACAAATCAAACCATAATTGGAAAGCAACATATTCAAACCG